AAGACATGCTTAGTTGCTAAAGGATACACTCAAATTTATGATCTTGATTATAACAACATTTTTTCTCTAATGGCCAAAATGACTATTATTTGTTTACTTTTTGCTATGACAACTATTTGTCAATGGTCACTTCATCAGTTGGATATCAAAAATGCATTTCTTCATGACAATCTAGAGGAAGAGATCTATATGGAACAACCTCCTGAATTTGTTGCTCAAGGAGAGTCAGACTTGGTTTGTAAGTTACGTCATTCTCTTTATGGTCTTAAACAATCTCCATGAGTTTGGTTTAAAAAATTTAGTCATATTGTTTAAATTTTTGAGTTGAAACAAAGTGAAACATATCATTATGTTTACTTAATAGTATATATTAGTGATACAATTATTACCGGGAGTGATGTTGTTAGAATATCTCAATTAAAGGAATACTTATGCAAGCATTTTCAAACCAAAGATCTTGAGAGTCTCAAATATTTTGTTCGTATTGAAGTAGCTCAGTCAAGAGAAAGGGTTGTAATATCTTAAAGGAAATATGAACTAGATACTGTAAGAGAGACATATATGATTGACTGATTCAAAAAGATATAAAAAATTGGTTAGAAAATTTATCTATCTTACTATTTCTAAACCTGATTTATCTTTTGCAATTGGTGTTGTTAGTCGGTTAATGCAGGCTTGCATTGACCATTGGAATGTCATCATTTGTATCTTGAGGTATCTAAAAAATACTCTAGGACAAAGTTTGTTAAATGAAGATAGGAACAACACTCAAATATCTGGATATTATGATGCTAATTGAGCTGGTTATCCTTCTGATAGACACTCTACTATATAGTATTGTGTTTTTCTTTGAGGAAATATTGTTTGATGGAAAAATATAAAGCAAAATGTCGTGGTTTGATCAATTGTCAAAATGGAATATATGACAATGACATCTCTTACTACCTTGTATGAGTAAAACAATTAATTTTAGAGTTTAAATGTTAAAACAATAAATATATAAACATATTCATTTATAAAAAATATTACAATTAAAATTATTAATTTTTTTTATATATTAGTAAAATATATTATAATATTATAATTTAAATTATAAAATTAATGAATTAAGTTTAAATTATTGATTATAATATGTTATTTTAATACATAAATATAATATTTTTTAATTTAAAAATTATTTATATAATTAAATATATATATATATATATATATATATATATTTATATAAAAAAATTAAAAATAATATGTGAATTCACCCTTTAATAAAGCGTGTTGAAATATATAACATAGATTATAGTGAATCAGTCTATCTCATCTTATTTTTAACAAATAGGACGACAAAATAACAAAATGATATTCCATTTTAACATCCTAATCATGTAATTGTTAAAAGAAAAAAGAAAATTAGACCTAACATATAACATTTTCTTAAAATATAAGGAAGTTTCCCACGGTACCGTTGGCTTTGTTCTAACACAATAAACTACCATGCTAAGATGATTTAATATTCATATATAATATTTGCAACTAACAAATAGGTGATATATATATTCAATTTTTTGTTTCATCTTCTATTTTTCATCATGTAGTAATTTGAGGTTATAATAATATAATATTAAATAATTTATACATTTTTAAAAAATATTATTAAAAATATATTTATTTAATCTATTTAGATGTTAAAAAAAACATTATAAAAAGTTGTATTAAAAATATTATTAAATATATATTTATTTAATCTATTTAGATTTTTTTAAATATTATAAAAAATTGTGATCATGATCACTCTTATTTTTACAAATATTATTTTTATAAATATTTAATTATAGAAATAACATAAATATATGATCAATAAAAAGATTGAATTATTTAAGATAACAAAAAATTTAATTTTGACAACAAATAAAATAAGATATTTCAAAATGTTGTATTACAAAATTATTTATTAGAATTATAATTATATTACATATAATCATTCAACAAATTTTAAATATTTTGATATACTGTAATAAAAACATTAGTCTTGAGTAAATATAAATGATATGTAATTATCATTATTGTTAAATATCATTTGAAGGTGAAAAAAATAAAATCTGTGATCTTCGGTTTGAATAAATTAATTTTAAATAATATTAGGGATAAAGTTGGAATGGAGATGTCAATCACTAAATTAAATAGAAAAATATATGAAGAAGATATATTAGATTATATTAATACTATGACAATATAAAAGCTAACATCAAAATGTTAGTTTGCTTATAAAAAAATAGATTAATTGTTCTATGTAATGTATTTTGATTATCACAAAACAAAACTAATGGTCGCTAACAAATAACATGAAAGTTTTATAGTAAATAGGTGATTCATTTCAACTCACAAACAGCATAAAAGTAAGCACTTTATGTTCTTGAATCTGATGATGAATTGAAACATTATCTTGTTTCTTAGTTTTTAAAAAAATCAAATACTTTCCTATAAGAAAATAATACGATGTGTGAATATTTACATAAATAGTCTAATTTGTATAATTGTATTTGAATTATTGATTTTTCTATTAAAAAATAAATATTTATTAAAATAACTCTTTAAGTATAAAAATACTTTGACAACAATCTTAAAATAAACTTTAGTGGGTCTTGAAATAAACTAATTCAATTATTAAATAATATAAACAACATATGGATGCATACTAGTAAGATAAATCAAACTATCTACCAAAAAGGTCAAAAAGTTATATTTTAAAATGTTTTACTAAGACTAACATAATTGTCCATAGGTATAAATGTTGATTTTGAATCTAATAAATCAAAATTACGTAATCATTCAAAATAATATTTTAATAGATTAAAAGTACTCGTTCATCCTAAGTTTGAAAATGATATGAATAAAGAATCTATTTTATGAGTATAATAATATTTATATACACCACTAATATGATGAAATTGTTTCATTCTACTTTTAAAAGTACTATGAAAATATCTACATGACAATAACAATATTTATAATTTTTCATATCTTAAACAACTTGTTTCAATTCCTATAGATTTAAAAAATTTATATTATTGAGAATATTTGATGTTGTTAAACGAAAACTTATATACACTTCTTAATTTAATTATTTATGACTCATTATTCATGAAAAAGATGTCATCTCTTATAAAAAACTATAATAAAAATAATTTGGATGATAATTATTTTAATTATAGGTGACAATTTTTTTAAATAATAACTTTTTTTTTATATTTAAGTACATCTTTTATAACCATAATAACTTTACACTCTCACCACTTGTACAATCTAAGTGAACTTTAATACTGATAATAAAATATTTTATTATTTTAGATAAAAGATAAATTAAATTTAATAACAAAATATCTCAAAAGGTTTGATTACGACTGTATATATATAATCAATAATATCTACTAATTTCTTAAAAAAAAATTATCATTTTATTCAATATATAATTCAACGTCAATTATGCTGTCATATATTTTCTCATGATGATGAATCATAAAATTCTCTGCCATCAGGACAATCCAGGATTAATAATTGTTTGGACATTGAAACTGGTCCTCTGTACAAAAGACGACAAAATTGGTGTGTGGTCCTTCCTTCTTTCTTTTTCTTCACAGTGGTGGAAAACACAGGTTCTGCGCTCGGTTTGATTGCTTGTCATTGATTTTTTTTTTCTTATATTCTTGAAGTTTTTTTTTTTATTAATCTTCACAATATATTATTTAATCACTCTCAAGTAACATAATTAACATGTTTAAGAAGAAGAAAATTAATATCTGATTATCCTTACAAAATTTATTTTCAGTACAAAAAAAAAATCATACCACTTTTTTAATTGAAACGGTGGTGTCAACATTTGTAGTAGATAAGAAAATCTAGATGAAATTATATAAATATAAAAGAATTCAGTCAATGAAGTAGAATTAGTTTATTTCTCATTATTTAAATATGTAGTGGACAAACAAATTTATTTAATTACATTGTTCATGTATTGAATAAAGTCATCATTAACACATGGTTATAAGAAACTTAATTAAAATTATTACAAACATAATAAATAACCTTTATTAAAATTATAATATAAGAAACTCAATTGAAAATATTACAAATATAATAAATATCCTTTATTAAAATTTTAAGATCCATTATTAAAATTCTAATATCCATCTTATATGAAAGTAATTAGTTTTATTTTTTTAATAGTATTATTTATATAAAAAATAATAGTATTATTTTAAAAATTAGTTACAAAAGTTAGAACATTTAAACTTTAATGCACGGGATTAATAGTTGGATTTATAAAATTAAATTAAATATTAGCTCTAATAATTTTTCAGTAAACTTTTATCTGAGTGTTTTAATTTAGGGTTGAAGTATTTATTCTATATTATAAAAAATGCACTTTATAATATACAATTTTGTAACCTGAAAATGATATATTGATACAAATATTTTATATAAAACAATATGGAATATTTATTGACACTGCTTATCTTAAATATATATTACAAAATTTAATTCAATTATAATTACATGCTACTTTATTTTTAAGATTTAACTATATAATTCTAATATCAATACAGTACAATAACAATTCGATGCAGGTTAAATTAGTTTTTACTGTAATTATTATTTAATTAGCTTAATATTGTCTCTTAAATGTAAAATTTCACCAATGTCATAATTTTTACCAGTTAATCATAATAATATCAACTAACGTAAAATGTGAAACGGAAATGACATCATTAAGATTAATTAAAATAAAAATGATAACATCTATTCAATTTAAAAAGTGAAGAAATAATTTGATTTTACTAATTAAATAAAACTTGAATAAATTAAAAAAAAATAGAAAAAAAATTAGTCTTTATTATCATAATGTCTGTTAATAAAAATGGAGTTTAGGAAAATAAATTTGTGATGGGATAAAGTAATTTAATTTAACCATCGACGCTTTTCCACCATTGATCACCTCACTCCGTGCCATGCCACGTGACTCTTTATCAGAGGAAATTTCCTCATTTAACCTTTATTACGGAGGAGGAATTTCCTGTTTTGACCTATTATTTTGGAAAAAAAAAAAAAAAAAGCAAATTACGCTCTCATTTCATCCCTAAACAACTTCTCTCACTCCTATTCCAATTCCAACCACTGTTCTTCACCTCTCACATTGATAGTTGGTTGTTATCTTCCATATACTCGCACACTTGTTGGGGTCAAACTCTCAAGCTTCACACTTCACTCTCTACCTTTTAACACATTCACTTCCCACCTTGTCCCTGCCATGTCCACAAACCAACCCGGCAATGGAGACTCCGAAACTCCCCTTCGTCAACCTCTGTTGTCTTCCCAGAGATCCATCGTTAATTCCACCTCCCAGGTTGCTATTGTGGGCGTCAATGTTTGCCCAATTGAGAGCCTCGACTATGAGTCAGTTTTTCCTCCTTTTTTATTTTTATTTTTTATATGGGTCTTGTGCTTTTGTCCAAAGGTGAAATATTTTCCGTGACTCACCTCTCAAGTGTCGCCCTTTCCCTTGTCGGTGTGCAGAATTTTTGAGAACGAGTTCTTCAAGCAGGATTGGAGGAGCAGAGGGACGGCTCAGATATTTCAGTACCTTCTTACGAAGTGGCTCTTGTGCTTTGTCGTTGGCATGATCGTTAGCATTATTGGCTTCTGCAACAATCTCGCTGTTGAGAATCTCGCTGGCATCAAGTTTGTGATTACCTCCAATATGATGTTGGAGAAGAGGTACAAAAGTTTTAAATTGGACCCATCTGTTTCCTTTTTATATCTGATTTATTGTTTCTTTTAATGGATCTGCTGAGTTTTGGAAGCTTGGAATTTCTCGCAGGTTTCAGTTGGCCTTCTTTATATTTTTTGTTTTTAATTTAGGTCTCACGCTTTTTGCCTCCTTAATCACGGCTTTGATAGCACCTACAGCCACCGGTTCAGGTATACCTGAGGTGAAGGCCTATCTAAATGGTGTAGACGCACCTGGAATATTTACTGTGCCAACTCTTTTTGTTAAGGTATACAATGAACTAACACGATGCTTATTTAGTGTTGGGGTTTGCCTATACAATGTGATATTGGTTATTATGATGGACATACTTCATATGACCCTGATAGTCTTTGTGACCTATGTTTGCATAAGCAATTAAATAATAGAGGAACAATAGCTATACATTCTCTAAAACACTCTTCATATTTTATTGAAATTAATGTTAGTCTCGTGTAATTAATATCACTCATAATGAAGTAGGTTCTAATAAATTCCAACCAATAGTTAAAGAGTGTTTTGAGAAGCATATTGCTAGTATTTTTCTGGAAATGTGTTAAGTTAAAATTTTTAGGTGCCAGGTGGAGGATGCAAATGATATAAACATTAGTTGTTATTGAAAGATGGAAATGGAACATTGGATCACCAATATTTAGTCAATTTATACCAATCTGCCAAGTGTCTAATACATGGTTGACGTCAAGTTCAAAGCACAATCGAATTCCCATTCGTATCATCATTCATTGACATTGTTAATGGAACATCACAAAAGTGGTGTAAATCTTACAACATTTTCTGGTAGTGAGTAACTTGCCATTCTATATTGTTAATTTCTGTTTAGATAACTTCTTGTTTATCTCTGGATAAAGTTTGGCGAGTAACACATTTCAAAAGTTTTTAGCATACACTACTATGTTGTTAAGAGATACAAAGTGATATAAAATTTATGCAACTTCTGTGGTATGCAAAAGATGTTACCTAGTACATTTTAGGTATATTACCTGTCATTTACTTACATGATCATTTCTTTCTTTTTGTCTTACTTTTTCCGTTTTCCACTGTAAGTTCTTTTGTTTTTTCCCCCCAATTTTCGTCCTTCTGAACATGTTTAGGAATCGGGGAGAAAAGATGAATCATCACTAGGTGTACATTGCTTGTCTAATTACTGTCAAATATTCGTTTGTCACAAATATGTTTGTGCTGTCAGCTGTGACATCTAAATATTATCTAATCTAAATCTAAATACCGTACACATGAGGCAGACAATCCTTATATCAATGTAGTCTCCACCTACTGTGGTTCTTTCAATACTCTATCTTTTATTTTCCTTCCTTAATTGATGGAACACATGTTGTCATAGAATTCTGAATGTAATATTAAATTTTTATGTTTCTCCAATAACATTTTTTTTTCATAAAATATTGTCTCTTAATTAACTAGTACTCTGGATTCCTTTATTAGATTCAGCCATCTTCAAACAGGAATTGTTGTTTTCCCTGAAGAAGAAATTTGCTTTCACATTGGTTCTATACAGATTATTGGAAGCATTACAGCAGTTTCTTCATCGCTTCTTATTGGGAAGGCGGGGCCTATGGTGCATACAGGTGCATGTGTCGCAGCATTGGTAGGTCAGGGTGGGTCGAAGAGATATGGATTAACGTGGAAATGGTTACAATTTTTTAAGAATGATCGAGATCGGAGAGATCTAATAACCTGTGGATCAGCAGCTGGAATGGCTGCTGCCTTCCGTGCCCCTGTTGGTGGTGTGTTGTTTGCTCTTGAAGAGATGGCATCTTGGTTTGTTTGCCTATCTATTAAGCATTACAACTTTTCTCCTGTAAACTCTAAAAAATTTCCATGATTTTTTGCTTGAGAATTGGAATCATATTTTTGTGATATGAATGATTTCTGTCAACGATGATGTGAAGGTGTTTATTTCCTCCTTCCCTTATTTTTAGTGATAAAAAATGTCTTTAATTTGCTATTTCTTGTCTGCTTCCGAGTGCTTATTGTGGTCGAACTTCATCCAATATAATTTGTTCTGCATAATTTTTCCTATTCTACTATGGATGACCAACATGTTAAACCAAATGCGTTTCTGTACAAGGGTTGGTTGAGATCCTTCAGCTTGGCTTCTTCTGATTCTCTCCCAGTTTCCCATAGCTGTCTTCTAGAAATGGCTTCAGTTATTCTCTAGTTACAGTGGATGAATTGTTATTGCTTTATCTTATAAATCTGAAAATCCGTGAGTCAATTTGTTCCCGTTCAATGTCTCAAAGTAAAATATACATTAATAAATGTTTAATTTCTGTCTTATAGGTGGAGAAGTGCCCTTCTTTGGAGAGCTTTCTTCACAGCAGCAATAGTTGCAATTTTGCTTCGTGCCTTCATTGATCTATGTTTAAGTGGTAAATGTGGGCTATTTGGCAAAGGGGGACTGATAATGTTTGATGCTTATTCAGCAAGTATTCCATATCATTTCGTGGATCTTCCTCCGGTGTTTATTCTTGGTGTTATAGGGGGGATACTTGGCAGCTTATTTAATTTGCTGTTAACAAAAGTTCTTCGGATATACAGTTTTATCAATGAGTAAGCGGTCTTTTAGTCATAAGTGCAATCAACAAATTAAACTTCTCCCAACATCGTACGATACATCATACCAAGCTCATTCATTCCATCATTACTTTTGCAGGAAAGGAACTGTTTTCAAAGTTTTGCTTGCTTGTGTAATCTCCATTTTTACATCTTGCCTTCTTTTTGGTTTGCCATGGTTAACTTCTTGCCGCCCTTGTCCACCTAATCCAACTGAACCTTGTCCTACAATAGGCCGGTCTGGGATCTACAAGAAGTTTCAGTGTGCACCTAATCAATACAATGATCTTGCCAGCCTCATTTTCAACACAAATGATGATGCTATTAGAAATCTATTTAGCAAGAATACAGATGACGAGTTTGAGTTTACATCAATGTTGATCTTTTTCCTCTCATGCTTTTTTTTAAGTATCTTTAGCTATGGGGTTGTTGCTCCCGCTGGTCTTTTTGTGCCAGTTATTGTTACTGGTGCATCGTATGGACGCGTTGTTGGAATGTTGCTTGGCAAAAACTCCAGTCTTAACCATGGTCTTTTTGCTGTACTTGGTGCTGCTTCCTTTCTCGGTGGGTCCATGAGGACAACAGTTTCTCTGTGCGTAATTATTCTAGAACTAACCAACAACCTGTTATTGCTACCTGTAATCATGATGGTGCTATTCATATCTAAGACTGTAGCAGATGCTTTCAATGCAAATATATATGACATTATAATGAAAGCCAAGGGTTTGCCTTATTTAGAAACTCATGCGGAACCATATATGAGGCAGCTAACAGTAGGTGATGTAGTAACAGGCCCACTGCTGACGTTCAATGGCATCGAAAAGGTTCGTAACATAGTGTTTATTCTCAAAACTACAGGACATAACGGGTTTCCTGTTATTGATGAGCCTCCTATTTCGGAAGCTCCAGTGTTATTTGGCATAATCCTTCGTGACCATCTTCTCACGTTGTTGAAGAAGAAAGCTTTTATGTCCTCACCTTTGGCTGCAAGTTTTGATGTCTTCAATAAGTTTTCATCTGATGATTTTGCAAAGAAGGGGGGTTCAAGCAAAGTTCGTCTAAAGATAGAAGATATACAGTTATCAGAGGAAGAGATGAACATGTTCATAGATCTACATCCATTTACTAATGCTTCTCCTTATACTGTTGTGGAGACAATGTCACTGGGAAAGGCCCTTACACTTTTTCGAGAGCTTGGTTTAAGACATCTTCTTGTGATACCCAAGATCTCTAGTGTAAGTAAAATTCTCATGCCTTGTTAATTTTGATCGAGATAGTTAACTGCTCTAATTTTGGTTAAATAGGGTGCTAACTTTATTTGGAGAATGTGTCAGCATAGTTCTGTTCGTAATCATTATTATGTGATGAATTTAAGTCTTGTGTGTCCTTATAGGAGAAGAAATTTGGTGAGAAAGAAAAAGATTTTTTATCATTTCCTCCTTTATTGCACTAAAACAAATAAATTGGTGTTTAACCATGTAGTTCTTAGGAACTGCTACTGCGGTTCTCCAATCAGAATTTGTGTTATAATTTAGTGATAGACTAAATTTAGACACAATTCCATATATATTATTGATATTATTCTCCAATCTGGATTAGAATTTTACCTCAGAAATCTGCATTATCATTTTATGGAATCCTTTGGCATGTAGGATAGTGAGGTGAAACTCCAAATCTAAATGGGGAACAACAATAGTAACATGTAAATTTTGTCCTTCAGTATCTTTCATAAAAAAGGATCTTATTAAATGTCAACATAGATAATGGAGGTGAAATTACAATTTCAATAGGAGAATAGTACTTCCAAAATATAAGGATCTGCATCTAATTTCTGTCTAGAAGTTAATTTTATTATATCCAACTTACATTCACCAACTTTATTCATCAACATTTGATGGCTGGTAGTCATTAACTAGGTGGGGTATTTTTTATTTTTATTTTTTTCTGTAGTAAATTAACAAATGTTTAGATAGTTTTATTTAGTAACTTATTTATGCCTTGTGTAATATTGCATGCTACTTAATAGTTGATGTAACCACTTCATTATTTCTTCACTAATCCAAGTTTTTTGCATGCTAACTGCAGAGGTCACCTGTGGTTGGTATACTTACACGACACGATTTCATGCCAGAACATATTTTGGGTTTGCATCCCTTTCTGGTAAGAAACACAGGGAAAAGATCAAGATGTTAGCTTAGCACCCTTATCTAGGGGACATAAATTTGGGCATCCGAGCAAATCTCACATTCTTGCTATAGTTTTTTAGGGCATCTGGCCTAGGCTTCCTGGCTCAATTTTCCTTTTGTGGCAGAAAGATTTCTTATTCATGAGACCAGATTACTCCTGATATTTTTTTTTTCCAACTAAATGGAATCCAGAGCTGAGTCATATTACCAAAATAATAATATGATTTAGTGAGCCCTTTTTCAGTTATTGCACTTTGTACATAAATTATGATATGTAATTGCCTGCCATAAATAAAACTGTGAATTGTCAATTGCATGAAGCTGTATAAATGATGATGGTCTCTCATCAAGGGATTTCGTTTTACTTAATCTCCATTATACTGTCATAAGTTATGGGTGGTTGTCCTAAGGTGCTTCGCATCTTTGTTATTGAAAGAGTAGTTTATTCAGTTTGTTTCGTGGTTATGTTCAGGAGTAAAATTTTAGAAGGAAAGGGAGAAAATAAAATTTTCATTGTATTAACTCATTATCATTTATTAGAAACGAAGTTACCTTCTTCTTATGAATCTTTGATCCCTTTTTATAAAAAATATCTAATAACTGTGTTGCTCTAGTGGGATCGGTTTCTAAGGGGCCTATGAATCTGAAAACCTCGTGACTGAATTCGGATAGCATTATAGTCACACTGTTTCGAGTTATTGTTGAATGTTGAATCATTATATTTTGAATTAGAAACATAGAACCTGAAGTTGATGGAATTTGACCATTCGATTATGCTTGAAAAGAAGAAAGATGACGATGTTGCAGTCGAGCCAACTTACCCATATTTGTAATCATTTTTCACTATGACATGAAAACTAACACAATATCTCTGATATTTCATTTCATCCTATAAGAATAAGTTCATATTTTACAAAATCCACTGCCAACTCTACACAGACAAGTACTTAAAGTGGCAAAACAAGGAAGTTTTTTTTTTTTTCCCGGAAACTTGCTTATTCAGGTCTTGTTTTCTGAGCCAGTTGCATTTGGGCGCCACATGCTAAGTAATGTGCTCACTTTACAATAATAACTCATGAGGCAGTTTACTGTGAAATTAATAAAATCTCCAAGAAGATTCAAATGATTCACTTCATTTCACAATGGTAAGATAGATAAAGAAAGAAAATCTTAACAAAAGAAAAAGGAGAAGGACTAACGTATCATCATCAATTACCACCACTTATTCTCTCCTTGCACTCTTGAGGTAATCTGCCCTTATTGCCCACAATTGCTCGCCCACTGATTTCATGTCAGGTCTATCTGTTCTAATTGGAGCTGCGCATTGAAATGCCAAATCAAACATCTTCATTAGAACATCTCCATTTACAGCTTCTTCCATTAAAGGATCCACCAGCTCCACTACGCTTCCTTCATTGTACTTCCTGAAAGCCTGCATAAAGATCAAACACATGCACATAGTATTGAATTAAATGGCATGTGTACGGAACGTGAACTTTTTTTATGTGAATATATTTACAAATTATCATGTATGATAAATTTATTAATTTTTACAATAACTACTTTAAAAGTTATACCTAACCTAACATAATTTTTAATTGATCGATAAACTAATTTTCTTACTATGACAATGCACGAAATTTAAACTCTTAAATTAGTTACCAAGTGGAACTACAAACTGAATCTGGCTAAACAAAAAATAGGGTGGGACAGCATGATTTCTAGCTCACTAGGCAATCTTTCATTTGCAGTACTATATTTATTCTTCACCATGCTACTAAACCTATAGATATGTCCAAAAAGTAAATGTTCCTGCCACTAGAGTTCTTCAAGGGGAGGCCACAGTTAGTCTCATGATGACTTAGTAGCATACTCAGTTTCATGCTGACAGTGGAAGTTTTCTTAAAGAGGTCCTTGATTTAAAGGTTCGTATTGGATGCTGGATTATGCTACATCATCTTTTCTAAGCATGCCAAAAGTTAAATAGACGATTAACACTTGTAAAAAAAAATGAAAAAACAAAACTAATCTTGATGAAAACAAATTATGAGCTTACCCATCTAAGTGTAACCCGCTCTTCAACAGTTTTCTTCAACTCAACGGGACGGCGACCTGTCACAATTTCTAAAAGCAAAATTCCAAATGAGTAAACATCACTCTTGGGAGTGAGTTGGTATGTTTTCATATACTCAGGGTCCAAATAACCAACTGTTCCCTTCACTTTGGTAGAAATGTGTGTCTGATCAGTGTTCACCGGCCCTTGCCTTGCAAATCCAAAATCAGCAACTTTAGCTCGCATGCTTTCTGTCAGAAGAATGTTGGATGATTTCACATCTCGATGTATAATTTGCTTTTCTGTTCCAATAGATGACAAAGGGTAGGCATCAAAATTCAATTGGCAGATCTATAAATATTGTTAGACTATAGGGTAATCATGCTGCATGAATCTCAGTCTAAAGCTTGTTTGGTTTCATGCTTTGATGTGGTTTTCCATGTTTAGGAAGCAAATAATTACAAGTTTCACATCACAAGCGCGATTCCTCCATTGCTAACAAGTTTCTGAAGACGCTATGAAACAATCTTGACTATCTAGTATCTATGTATGGTTAAGACCGGTATTATCTTCTCACACCTCTCACTAGATATGCCCCTAATGCACTGAAATATGTGGAAAAGGTACCACCGATCATTACTTGAGAGTATAATGTTGTGTCAATACTGTTCCAATAAACAAACAACACATAAAACCCTATTTAAGGCATCTTTCTATAATTCAAGATTTCAAAGCATTTATTTATACTTTAGTTTTGTAAGATGCGAAGAGCAATCTTACAGTTGGTTTGTAGGCAAAAGAAAAAGTAGAAGGAGAAAAAAAAAAAATACACATAATACAGTAATCACTACCTGCATAAAGATGCAGATAGGTCAAGCCATGGGCAACATCAATTGCAATTTCAAGGCGCTGATTGAAGTCTAGTATTTTTCCACGCATACCTGCCAATAGTATCAACATGACATTCTGTATTAGGTTCAACATTCAAAGACAGATGTTGGCTGATAACAGTGCATTGTCTTACCATCCAAATGTTCTCTAAGGGTACCATTTGGCACAAACTCTGTAATAAGAAGGCGTTCATTTCCTTTGTCAATATAACCTAGTAGCTTCACCAGGTTTCGATGATCAATTTTGGCCAGAAGTTCAACTTCACTGCTGAATTCTGTTCTCAAACTATCAAAATGTTCCTATACGATTTAGCCACATCAGTATGGAGAAAGTAAGTACTTTTATCATTTTCAGTGGTACAAGACAGTCAAACCATTTCATATACAATTTTGATACATAATCTTTGTACCAAAACAGAATCCAGAACTGGAGCATTCTAAAATTAGATGAAGACTTTTAAACTGCATATTAAGAATTACTTACCTTTTTTGCACGTTTTACAGCCACAACCAGGCCATCATCCAACTTGGCCTTGTAGACAGTTCCAAAACCCCCTTCTCCTATTTGTAATGTTTCTGAAAAGTTATGTGTAGCTCTTGTAATTTGGTTCAGATTGAGATGCAATGATTGAAGTCTACTGAGTTTTGGAGACATTGAGAATCTTGACGGACTAGGTGGCACCCGAAGTGGACTGGCCGGAATCTTTTCAGTGACGGAGGCTTCAAAGGATGAAACCGAATCCACTACAAGATCAAATTTTTCCATAACTTATTCATGTGTAACTGGAAGCATAATCCTAAATAATAATAAAGAAAAGAACGAAAAATAAAGCATGTAATAACCATCGAAACTGAAGTTTGTAAGTTAATATAGGAAGATTATTTATCAAACTACATGTCGGAAAACCCATCTCCTAAATTCATAACATGAATGCACATGCCTAGCAGGGAAGTTATCCAGACGAATTCCACAAAAGGTGGTACAAGTTTACAAAAACATCAACTCACTTGAATTGGGGTCCTTGGCAAGAACAGCATGAGAAGTTGCCTTCTTTCTCTTGCTAAAGAAACAAGGACAAAGAACAAGGCAACATACAAACAAAGCTCCCCCTGCAGAAATACCAACCACGTGAGCTGACAGAGGCTTAGGATCTCCTTGTGATGTGGATTCACTATCTGAATCCTTTTTCAGAAGTTTCCTCCCTTCCTTTAAAGGCAAATCCACTGCAAACAATAAAAGCCAACGCAAAGATTAAAAGAAACGTTCTTCTCAAAGATAGACATATTACAAGCGGAAATCTACAGAAAATGTGCATAAATCTTTGGAAAACGGCAAACCATACTCAAATTAAAATCACACTGAACATACCAAAAGAAACCTCCGTCACACATTTGACACTTCCAAAGTAGTCCTTAACATCACACCCCTTTTCAGTATACAATTGGAGACCCTCACAGAAAGCAACCTTGTTCACTACATTGCCGTTTATGTAGAACAGTTCCTGACCATGACTAGAATATGAATGTGCCACCCAATCAGTGCCACAATTCTTTGACTGTAAGACAACCTCAGAGCCAAAAATTGTTGACAATTGCAGCAATAGAACCAAGAATAACGCAAAAATAGCCATTCTTAATTAAACACCGCAATCCAAACGGAAAGCATCTGCTTGTAGTAATACAGAAGCAACCAAGGTGCATAAAACTACCAAACAAAACCAGCACAGTCCTGCTCAAGCATCATATTTAGCCTAAAACACAAATCAGTGCCAAAATATTGACCAAAAGACCCCAGCAATCAATCAAAGGTGTTGGCCTAATTCACCAAATTGGGCCACGACGAATTGAATAGAATTTCTGAATCGAAAAAGGCAAGATCAATTTCAGACAATGAGAACAAAAAATGAACGTGAAAAAGGAGTTGCCCAGACTGAAGTTTCAGTTGTGCAGTGTTTCTTAAGTTTTTCCAAAACCTGGAACACCCAATCGGACAAAACACCTCAAGGAGCCAGCTGGCAAGGGATCCAAGACAAGACCTTGGAACTCAACAATTTTTGTTGGAATTCAGACTACCCAATTCACCCAAAGAGAAGAAAAGACAAAAGAACAAGACTTTTCACTGAGAACCAACGAAAGGTGGGGGGGTTTCTAGGAATCTGGAGCGTGCAAAAGAAGAGACTAGTAGCTGAAACAAGAGGCGGCTATGGAAAAATGGCAATAATATTAAAAATAATAATAAATAAGAGTATACCCAGGTTTACACTTCACAATTGTTCTTTCTATGCAGTAGCAGACTACCAGATAAGAATCACCATTATTTTTCATTAATATCAAGCTTAGTTTGAATATGCATAGAGTGAGAAAGAAGAGAGAGAAAGGCAATTGAGAGTAAGTGGTGGACTCTGACGTAAAGCCAATAGCCGGCTCTACGTAATATACTGGTATATAAATATTACTATTTTTTATTTATTATTCTATTATTGTATTTTTGTTGTATTTAACACCCAAATATTTGGTTTGTATTATTGTAATTCTTATAATATTTATTTTTTAACTCTGTGGGATAAAGTGAGAAGATGCCGTGGTTGACCGTCGAGGCTTGGAGAAGCAAGTTGGTGTGGAAAGGTACTTGAATTGCTAGGAAAGTATCTTGAGGACATTTTTGGGATTCTCAAAAGTTCTCACTGCTTCCATATGGTGTTGGGTTTTGAACTTTTACCTTTTTTTGGCAGTGAGAAAAGGGTTTTCACGTGTGCTTGAAAATGGTACTTATCTTGTCTTCTCACAAGCTATTAAATTGAAATTATTACAAGTTGAATAAGGGAAGTAAATTTGTGTTAGAGCAATCAAGATTTAAATCTTAATTCGTTTTGATATCTTCTCCTTAGACTTGATTATAAGTAATAAAAGTATAACATTTGTTGAACTTAAATGTGGATCTATTTGGATAAAAAAAAGTTAAAGTTCTATTTATTAGTTAAAATTATTATATGTATAACTTAAAAACTAACATAGGGTTATTGAATGCATTTGTTACAATTTTTTTTTCTTAGACTAAAGATGGGGCGATGTAAGAAAAACGTTCCGAATCCTTCAACGCTATATTAATTCTTAACCATTTCGCTTGTTACTCCTATCAAATCTCTTTCTTAATCGCTTCTCTCATTTTCAATCAATTCACGGTACTATGTCGATTTTTATTTTTGTTTCAAATATAATAACACCAACTATGTTTTTTCATCTCGTAATGTTCACTCTTTAATTTTTCTTTGTTCATATGTTTACAACTTCTTCTTCTATTTCACACACAAGAGTGGATTAAACGTTGTCCTTTACTATTGCATTTCTAAAATATTGACACAGTTCAAATACGACAATATTAGCATATATTTACAGATTTAAATAATAAAACATAATAAGAAAATAATTGTAGTATCCAAATTGTTAAACTGATTGATGTATTAAATTAATCACGTAACGAGATATTTAGTTATAAGTTCCTATAATAAACTCTAGATATTTTGTTTCTAACTACAAAAAGGGAAGAATAAGCAAATGTCTCTCATCCATCAGTAAAGGATAAATATCATGAGGGGACTAGTGTTAAGTAAGATAACATTTCAGGAAAAATAACACACAGAGTATTTCTGTCGAGATAAATTTTTTAGAGTAATACTTGACACTATATGTGAAAAAAAAAATAGAATCTATTTTTCCATTACCCAAAAACGATAATAATGATCGCATTAGGTCGAATAATTCTACAATAACAATAATAATCATTAAAACTCGAAAATTTCTACAACAACAAAAATTATCATAAGGTCAAAAAACTCTACAACAACAACTATCACATAAAGGTCGAAGATTTTTTATAGGGACAACAACGACCACATACAAGTCAGACAATTCTATAATAACAACAACAACCACGTAAAGGATAAATAATTATACAGCGACAAATATGATCATGTAAAAGTCAGATAATTTTATAACGAATGAAAATCAAAATAGAGACAACAATAAAAATTATCACAAAACAATGAAGTTGACCAACAACGAATCTGACCATATACATTTTGTCAATTTTGATCTTAACAACATCATTCGAGCGTTGAAGTTCATTGTTCTCTCTTACTAGGACATTATTTTATCCTCCATATAGGTTATTTCGGCTCGTTGGCTTTGTCGAAGCGACTCATGTGCCTCTTTTACGATCCTCAAATCCTCTTATACTTTATACAATGCTTCACTCATGGATGCTTGACCCTTTAAGCAATCATTCAATTTTTCTATTGCTCAAAATTTCTCGAACTCTACCGCATGTCTTTTTTCTTCCACTCGAGCCTCAAACTCCAAGGCTTTCTTTTCAACATGTGAGGAAAGTGAATTAGCTGTCGTGAGCAAGTTATACAAAGTCCAAACCATATTTGCACAGTCCATATCTGATAGCTTCGAAAACATTATAAGGACGCTTTCCCTCAATGGAAACCCTTTTGCTAAGACAACGACCGAGGTGATGACTCACGATTCAGGCTCGATAGTAGGTTTTTGTTTACGCTTAAGGCGCACATCGCTCTTTGTCCTCTCGGACCCTCGAGCCAATATCCTCCACCTGAACTGGAGCAAAATCTTCCCCAATGGTTATCACTTTGACTAGTTGTTGCTCAACAATCATAGCTTCACATAGGCATCGACTCATATCTTTCTTTGATAAAGTCATTTGCTTCTCTACACAAAATTGAAGAAACGTTAACCATTGATAACGAAAACACTAAGGACAAGAAGAAAGTTGGGAATACCTATATACACTTTAAGGTCAATAACTCAAAATTTTAGTTTAAGAAGTGTGGATGTAACAAAAACAGTATTCAATTGCTCGTGCATACTGCAATAAACGTTGTTATTTTACTCCAGCTCTAATAATTGTCTAGCAGTTTGAAAGTATAGTCCAATAGAGAAGGATTCCTTCTATTAAAGATGAGTCAGATTTAGGACTCGGACTTTAAGAAAGCGTCCCTTAAATTGTTTATAAGATTATTGGAACAGATTCAATAAAGTTCGACCATGCACTCCACTCACCAAAACCCAAGACGTCCTTTTCGAAGATTTACACTAAAAAAAGTAAAGGAACATGCTAAAAGTCGGGACAACACCAAAATAAGTGAAAAGTATATGAAAAGCTCGGACAAAGGCCGAACTGTTGGGATGCAATTAGGTTGGACCAACATTTAACAAATATATATATATATATATATATATATATATATATATATATATATATATATATATATATATATATATAATGGCTTTGGATCATCCTCTCGATCGCGACAAATGGGCTTAAAGGGATCACACACCTATAACACTACATCCTTATCAATATCAGAATGACTCAATGGTTGATTATGTCTTAAGTGCCTTAGTAGTTTCACATTAGTATAAAGAAAGGTTTCATGCAAAATTTTGATTTTAGCCCAAGGTACAAAATGACATCACTCATTTCTTTTAGGGATTTATCAACCATTTGCAAGAACAACGCAACCAGTGGCAGATCTTCTTGGGAGCTGAGGGGGGTCATGACCCCCCCAAAGTTTTGTACCCTCATGTAATTTATGATTTTGGTCCCCCTAAATTTAATGAACATTTAATATATTTACCTGTATATTTACAATTTTATCCTCTCATCACTTCTAACTCTCATGTAATTTATGATTTTATCCCCTCAAACTTAATAATCATTTAATATATTTAGTCATACATTTACAATGTTATCTTCTCACCCTTTCATCTTCTTTCACCCTTTTATATTTATTTATTATTTATTAATAATATATTATTTGGCCACCCAAAATCAATGGTCAATATCCGCCACTAAACACAATAGAAACAACTTTAAAATCAAAACCAAGAACAATTGACATGGGACTAACACACCTGAATGATGAGCTTGTACGAGGAAAGAGGAAAAAATGATAACAAAGATGAGAAATAAAGATGAAATGAAGCACGAAGAAGGCAACAAAGGAAGAAATAAGAAGTACAATGGAGACAAAGGGGGGGGGGGGGAATACGCAACACGTGTGTGACACATGGTTGACGTGACTAAATGAAATGATTATACAGTCTCGAATAGTAGGAAAAAAGTTCCCGTCACAATTAAGTGACGATTAGGGTCATGTATCGATGGCTTATGCCTATAATAGTAGGTATCAAGAAAACATAGACATATGAAGCCTTAACATTTTATACTTAAGGCTAGAGAATTGTATAGTGTCAAAATTGTTAAACTCGTCAAGTGACCAATCTATTAAATCGGTCACGTGACGACATGTTTAATTATAAACTCTTAAAAATAAAGTCTAAATATTTTATCTTTAACTATAAAGGAGAAAAATAAATCAAAACCTTGACTTAACAACAAAAAATAAATATTACAAGAGTCTAAAATTAAGTAAGATAACAATACAAAACAACGTAAATAAATATTATTGTGAAAAGTAATTCTTAGTAATAATCATAAGAAAATTTAAAATCTAGTTTGATGTCAAAACATGATCTTATTATCAGTTTAGTCCAGTGTGACAAATGAATATTGGTTTTTCATGACACAAGTCACCATCTACTCAATTAGTTTTTATTTAAATTAGAAAAAAAAAAAACATTATCATTCAATGATGTTTACACTTTTTCTCAGTTTTATCATTAATTGTGGTAACTGTTAGGTATATAAAATAAATACATGGTGTAATCTTGTATTTTGCTTTCTAAAGTATATATATATATATATATATATATATATATATATATATATATATATATATATATATATATATAATGAAATAATTAAATAAAAAGTATTTTGAGATTATTTTTGTTTAAATTGTATAAAAAAATTAGTTTTTTTATCATGCGAATAAAAACTTGTTTACATGAGTTACTTTTATATTTAAAATAATTAAATGTTACAGGTATACAAATGAAAAATAAAATATATCTATAAATAAGTTAGACATTTTAATAAAAAAATTCAATGGTTTTCTTATTTTGAAAAGGTTGTGACCAGTATTTTAAAAAACAATAATATTATTTGGGTTTTATTAAAAAAATATAATAGAATAAATTGAAATTATCTTCGTAGAATTATTATTAAATTTGATTTACTACCGTGAATTTAACTATATGGGAATACTGAGAGTATATGTAAATATATTCTTCAAATTGAATTTAATCTTAAAATAATTTTTTTCTTTACATTGTTTAAGATAAAAAATATCTTATTTTTTCTTATTATTTATTGTTTTTATAATGAAATCCGTCTTATGCATAAACCATTATTATATTATGAAGTAAATTTGACAGTATTACTATATACAGAAATAAACCATTTTTTTTCATGTCTTTTTTTTACGATGATGTTTTGTTATTTTGTAGGACCTATATTTAATCTCAACTATTCTATATGACTTTTGTAATGGATTGAGTGTGAAGGGTAATCTCCAAAAATCTAGATTTTTATGCTTAAAAGGTTTTCTTTTTAAAAATATTGATGTCTTAGAAAAATGTTTTCGAATTCAATTTAACTCTATAAGATTGAGAATATCAAAAAGCGTTTAGCAAACTAAAAAAAGAAAAAGTTTTAAGCAAGATATGTCATCTTTGCCTTAAAATTTTTTTTTTTCACACCTATATCATAATGTAATAATCTTAATTTCTAAATAATATCGTTTAAAATATAAATAAGTATGGTAGATTTATGTCGTCATCTAAAAGTATGTTATAGATTTAGTGAATTATAAATAAGAAATAAAATCTAATAGTGTTAACAAATCAGATTTGATAAAATAGGGAATATATCTATTTCCTTGAGAATCTAACTCGTGATTTGTTGATAAATAAAAAATTCTAAGACATCAATATTTTTGTTAATAAAGAGACATAATTTATTTATAGAATGTAAAAAGGAGTAATTATAATAGAGACACTTGCCTAACCCAACATATTTATATACCCTTCAATAACAGTTGAAATAACTTCATAGTACCGTAAATATAATAAATTAATACTCTGGTATACTTAAAATCTAAAGAAAAATTAAGAATTTAATGTGATATTCTATTTTACATCAGTGACTAATTAAAAACTAGCTAGTACACAGTTATTTTTAATATGTTATAAATTTAATAACTTTATCGTGGTAATTAAATAATGATATAAATACTTATTCTATTTTAGTTAAATCCATATATTAATTAAATTATAACATGAGAAAAATTAAGAAAACATGATTCCGAATATAAAAATTATCATCAATTTTAGTTTGTTGTCATGACCAGTTTCGGTAAAGATTTTAATTTTATTTAGTTTGGGCTTTCATAGTAATGAGCGTGCTCGTTGGGCTTGGGCTTAACTAGTAGTACTAATCACTGGCATTAGGTTTCAGAAGAAGAAAAAAACCACATTCACACGAAAATATCAAGTCCAAACATTTGCAGGGCACAGTGTGCTACTTATTTTTTAAATTAAAAAAATTATGTTAAACTAGTACTGTAGCACCTCTTTGTATGCAAAAATAAATTATTGTATATAGTTTTTTTTACATAAATTATATTATAATAAAAAATATTTTTAACATTTAAACTATATTTCAGGTTTAGAATAAATCGTTTCTATTGTGATACAACTTTATTGTTAATAATTGATGATTTAATAAAAAAAAGAATTAAAATATAAAAATCAATAAAACGAGAGAAACAAACAACTCTTAAAAATTATCTCCTTGAATAAAAATAGTTGAAGTTGTTCTCATTAAAAAATATAACTAAGAACACTTTCATTCAATATAACTACTGTATTTTACATAGAGAGTGAGATCAATAAATAAATAATGAATTTACTTTTTTTTAGTGCGAAATAAACTCCACATTATCTTAAAAACATAAATGCTCTAAAGTCAAAGCTAACACTCTTTGACTCTTTTTGTTCAAAATATCACTCCTAAAATACTTAAAATGACAGCAAAATATTATCCTCTCGTGTGGATGATAGTAGCATGCAAAAAATAAAAATATTTTGGTGTATTGCATAAGCAAATTATAATGAATGCTAGTGTCAAACCTAAATTTTATTGATAGTAAGATTAAAACGTACCTTAACAAACACCATTCACTATTAGAAAATTTAATCATATTAAAGTAAAATAAAATTATTTTTTTAACAAGGGAAAAAAGAGAAAATAATAAACAAAATCTCTTAATATAATAATAATAATTATTGTCTCAATCTTTCCTTCTAAATTTATGTGAGCATTTAATTAGGTAGGTTTAGGTATGTTTATATATTTTTTTAATGAAAACTTTTAAATAAATATATTTTTTCATAAGCTAAAATTAACTTATTCATAAACCAATTTGTATAAATTCTGGTGTATAATTTATAAAATATATTATATTTTATATATAAAT